CATGGGATATTTTCCTGGCTATAAACAAGCATGCTGAGGGTGAAAAGAGAGATTTACAAAGCAGATGTAGTGCAGTACAGTGTCGTCATTCACTTGGTAAAAGAAATCACCTTCCTGTCTGCGCTTCTCCCGACTCAGTCCCATAAGACAAGAGAAACAGCCATTACCAGGTCCAATAGATCCTTTCTCCTAAAATCTCTCTAGTCCGACTAGTTTTCTCTACCTCCCCAGCCTAGGCCGGCTTAGGCCATGTTCACCTTTCTTCTAGAGGATTGTAACCTCTCTGACAAATGTCAAGCTCCAGCTTCAAGCCTTTTATACCCTCTAGGACTGGGGTAGGGGACTTGCCCACATATGTGTTCCTGTACCTTCTATTGTAACTTTCCTATATCCCTGATAAGCCTGAGCTTATTGGTCCTTAGCATGCAAGCTCCTTAGCAGGGCTTTATTTACTGCCTGAACACGTTAAGTACTCAATAAGTATTTGTTGCATGAAGCGATTACAAAGGTATGTATCAAAATATTTTGAATACCTATTTTTTTTTGCATCAAATATATTAACCCAAGTAAGTATATTTGGACGTGAAAAACCAGGGCTACTTAACAAATTGAATTTAATTGGATTAGGAAGTAGGACTTTCAGTTTCACTTTTGTCTTTGACTTTTCGGTGCAGATTGAGACGTGCCTAACCTAACGCAAACTGAGAGGTGTGTCCCTGATGTGGGACTAGGCTCTCCACATCTCTTCTCTTTTTTCCTTATTTTATTTTATTTTTGTTTTTAAATCTGCTAATTGGAGGTAGTGATTAGGCGTGTTAGCCAGAAGTGCTGTAAGGAGTGGGTTTCCGTCTTGAAGGGACATTTGTGCTTTCCTTAACCCCCGAGTGATTACGGGAATGTTACCCATTCTCTGGGAAGACTCAGCCAGGCATTGCAGGTGGTTTTGAAGTCCCTCAATCAAAACACATCGAGCCACCCATCCGTTCCTAGCTTCGGAGCTCTCAGAAGAAATCCTCAGGTTTTACATTTTTAGAGAAATAAGGTCAAGCATTATATTTTAAAGCACCTTTATAGGTCAAACCCAGCAGCCTAACTCTTTCTGACCCATGCAAGTGGCTTTTAGTAATTTGATTTTGCTTTCAAATTAAGCAAAAGGAATTTTTATGAAATTTCAAGGGGGCATGCTATAACATCTAGAAATTAAAAGTAGATTTAAAAGAAAAGACTCCTTGAAAAATAGGATGGCCGATGGAGCAGGATTTTTAAAATAATATTTTCATGTAGGAGTTGAGAGTCAAATACTGGTTCTCTCTTCTCCCACTCCAGGTGAGATCTAGATTCTTGTAATAACCAGAAAAGACGGACAGTCTGAGATCCCTGCCATCAAGCTGTGCCATGTCCCTTTCCCTGGCAGCAGCATCCAGGGCAGGATTCCAGAAAGAAGAATCCGTGGCCCCAGGAAACTGAGGCTTTGAACCGGATGTCAGTGACAACCTCGGAGAGCTACTGAGAAACTGCAGATGGAGGGAGACACACCCCACCTTCTTCCTCCATCCAGCCACATAAAACACACTGGAACAAGACGCTGTCCTGTTTGATGATGAGTGAGAAGCAGCTGTCACACTGACACGAATTGAGTGAGATCTTGTAATATTGCTCACGGGGCAGAGGAAGAGGATTTCTCCTTGTGGAGCTGGAGTCTCGGGGGCAACAGAAGGGAAGGATAATCCTGTGTGAAGTGAAGAGAGATCTGGAGGGACCCATCAGGGTATGGAAGGGGCTGCGGAGAAGTGGGGTGCGCTTCTAACTCCCTTGACCCCAGGAGATCTGGACAGCCATTCCGTCACTCCCGGGGGGAATAAGCAGCATTCTCAGAGTAGCTCAGGCGCTAAGGGAAGATACTAGAAGACCACGAGAAAAGGGGAGCAGGGCGTGTCCAGCTCTCCTCCTCCTTTTCAGTACCCACACTTGGTGGGGGCCAGCACGGAGGGAATTTGCACCCTGCAGACTCCAGGGAGGCTGAGCTGACTGCATTAGAGAGGAGTTTCACGGGAATCAGGGTTATAGGTTGGATAGTGCCCCCCACCCACAATTCATAAGTTTAAGTCCTGACCCCCCCAATACCTCAGTGTGCGACCTTACTTGGCAACAGGGTCTTTACAGAAGCCATCAAATAGCAGTCATGAGGGGGGACTCTAATCCAGTACGACTGATATAAGAGGGGAAATTTGGATACAGACACAAATGCACGGGCAGAGACCTGGCCATCTACAAGCCAGAGAGAGAGACCTGGGCAGATGCTTCCCTCGCACCCCTCGGAAGGGGCCAACCCCATAGACACCTTGATCATGGACCTCCAGGCTGCAGGTCTGTGAGGCGATGTCTGTGGGTGAAGCCTCCCAGTCTGCGGTGCTTTGGTACAGTGGCCCTCATACTGTCCATGGGTCCTGGAGCCTCTCCCCTCCTCGAGGGCATGCGAAGGTGGCTTCCTTGGCGTGTTCACATACACGGGGTAACGGCTGGGGTAACGGCTCGCGTCCCGGCTGATCCTGTGTTTCTGCCATCTTAACAAGTGGCGTTCATCGACTCCTGATAACTGCACGTGCTTTACGATCGGCTGTAAACTAACCCGACAACCTCCTAGGCATGAGTCGTGGCCAGTTCTGCGCCTGAACACACTGAGATGCCGTGAGTGAGAGCCGGGCAGTCCTCCCTGAAGGTCTTGCCATTCTTCTGAGACTGGTCTCCCCAGCCCTTTCTGGTCGTGAGGGTTCGGAAGGGGGCCAAAAAAGAGTGGGCCAAAAATGTTGCCAGAGACACCCCACTGTCCTGGGCCCAACGCTCATGGAATTTCCACCGATCTGAACAGGACAGCGGTCAGCAAGAGATCATGCGTTCATACTTTGTCCATCTCGAGGTGCTTCTTTGAAAGGAGTCTCCTTTCTTTCCATTTCCCTTCTAAAAATGTGTACAAAGTATGAATGTTAATTAGGGATTCCCCTCATAGGGTGGATGTGGCACATAGATGCTCACCCTAAGAATGATCTGGCAACAGAAGAAACTATTTGTTGGAGGATTTCGAGAGAGAGAAGAGAGGGGAGGCAGCACGTGGGTTGAAGTGTGTGCACAGACACAAGTAAAGGGACGTGCCCCGCTCTCTCTGACTCATGAATCCATTGAGGTCGTCCCCTGCTCTGTGGCTGGGCTCTAAGCCTGTGTCTAAGCCCACAGCTCCAGGTCTCGGGTGAGTGTGTGTTGCTGGTCCCTCAGCACTGAGATCCTGATAGGTCTGTTGGAACAGTCAGTCAAAGCAGCGGAGAAAGGAGAAGCAGCAGAAGGACTCAGAGGCAAAGCTAGTGCCCGAAGGCTGCAGCTCTGTAGAGGTGGGCAGATGTGGACCCCGTCACATTGCTCTAATGTCCTCTTCCAAGGACCTCCCAAGTGACTTACACAAATGACCTTTTGACCCGTCAGGGAGAGGTCCTTGCAAACTTAGCTGTTCTAAAAGGACAGAGAGCATGGTGCCTAACAGCCTTGGATTTTGGAGTCAGGCCCATCTGAGTTATAACCTCAGCTCTACCATCTCTCAGCTTCGTGGACCGGGGGGAGTTCTTTTTGACCTTTTGAGTCCCAGTGTTCTTCACCTTCACCTTCACCTTCAAATTCAGCATGGGCATAGAACTCTCTAGGAGTAAAATGAAAAAATAAACAAATCGTGGCATATTCATGTACTGGAAACTTCTGGAGCTGTGGGCATTAACAATCTGTAACTACACACACAATTCTGTGGGTGGATGTCACAATATCGAGAGAAAGAAGCCAGTTCCAAAGGGCACATAACGCATGGCGGTGAAGCTGACCGCCTGGTGGAGCCAGCTCACGTGGTTAGAGGTCAAGGTGGTGTTTACCTTGAAGGGAGTAATGCTTGGAGGGGTGGCTGGGCCGGACTGGTCTGTGTCTTGTGATGGGTGGGGTCCGTTGGTGAAACTCACTGAATTACACACTTAAAATCAGTGTCATTTTCTGCATGTATATTTTACTTCAATCAAGAAATTCCAAAAAAATGTGGATGTGTAACCGATGTGATTCTGCAATCTGTATTTGGGGTAAAATTGGGAGTTCATAACCAACTTGAATCTAATGTATGAAATATGATATGTCAAGAGCTTTATAATGTTTTGAACAACCAATAAAATAAATAAAGAAAGAAAGAAATTCCAAAAAGCAAATCATATCAGTACCTAACTTTACATAGGTGACACTTACATGAAACCATGAGTGCAAAACACCTAATGATAGCAAGTGCCAGACACATGTTAGCAACTTATCATTAACAGTTTTACTCTTTGGATGCAGGTATTGGTGACCAATTTAGCACCTCCCCTAAAGACCTGTCCCATCTGGGCAAGCCAGTGACACCATGAGTTTTAAATAAAGAGGTACATAAACGGCCCAGATCCTTATCATAGGTCAACCTCTTAGCAACCCTCATGTCTTATTTTAGTGGGGAAAAATTCAGCCCTGAGTCCTTTGATTTGAGATAAGATAATTTTCTATTTTTTTTTTTTTAACAAAAGCCCACCCTGCATCCTCCATAGTGTGTAAAAATAACTTGGCAGAAAAGAGCAGGCCGTTTTCTGCTGTTCTCAGACTCATTTATACTTCCTCTCGCTTCCTCCGTAGATAAAAATAGAGGTTTAATCTACTGACAGACAAGAGCCTTCCGAAGTACGAACTCCATTTGGAGCTGTTTCTCTTTATGGTTGATTTTCTGTAATACAGATGTTTGGGGCATAATGTATTCTCTAGAACGTCCTCTGTCAGCTCAGTAAAGAAGACAAACAGCAGCCTAATCTTGAGAACAGGGCTCCTCCATAAACCAGCTGACATAAGCTCAATTGAGCTTCACCCCACATAAAGATTTTAATAAACAAACCTCGCTGGTCAGCATATCGCTCCGGCATATTTAAGCAGATCACGTGCTGCTCCCTCCTCCTCTTTACAGTTCTGCAGCTTCTGCACAAAACAAGCTCTGGTTAACAGAATGCAGTGAGTCTGAAGAGGAGGCAAAGTCTCTTCCCTGCATGCCTTGACAGAGCCAGGGTGTGACAGCGTGGAACGCGGGGCTGCCCAGAACCGAGGCTCAGCTCCCGGCCCCAGACTGCAACTTCTGCAGCTGAGTCGGCATGAAGAGGAATAAGCTGGGAACCACCTTCTGACCCACTTCCCAGTTCTTCTCTTCTTTACGTCGGGTCGAAACTTCGTTCGCTCTTCTGGCCTTTCATTCATCTACCACGTCTGTTCTTCTGGCTCCTGGATCCGACTCTCTGGATTCCAACCTGGAAGAGGCCCTTTAAGACCTCAGGGAATTTGGACACATTACATAACCTCTCTTAGCCTGGCGTTGCTCATCAGCTACAGGAGGATCATAGCCCGCCTACCCACGGGGTTGTCAGGAGGATTTATTGTGCCGATGTCCACAAAAGCTCTTTAACGGGAGGTTGGCCAGTTTGTAGTAGCTCATCAGCAAACGATGGCTATTAACCTGTTCCTTTGTGAATCAGGCTTCTTCTGAATGGTTGTTTGTGCACCTGCACGTACACAACCACTCATCATCCTTTGTCAGGCAGGGAGAGAAACTTTGGGTCCAGGGGGATTGAGCATGATTAATCGGATTCAGGGAATCTTAAACTAAGAGGGGTGGCTCCTAACTGAGAGGCAGAGTTAGAAACTAGTGGTTTTCTCAATTTCAGCAGCGTGACTGATATTTGGGGCTCCGTAGTTCTCTGTGCAGGAGGGCTGTCTTGTGTAGGAGGTTTAGCAGTATCCCTGGTTTCCACCCATTAACTGCCAGGAGCAACCCCAAAGTGTCTCCAGAGCTTTTGAAACGGCTCCTGGGGACAAAAGCATCCCTGGTTGAGAGCCACCTGACTAGACCGGAGACGTTAATCCTAGAGCTCAAGTGGGAAGGCATAAGAAGTGACTTATGAAAAGAGAAGGGACAGAAAGTCCAAGACAAGTGCCTTCCTTGCTGTGTGAGTTATCTTTCCATTACTATAACAAACCACCTGAAGTAATCAACTTTAAAAAGGAAAGCTTTGTCTTGGCTCTCCGTTTTGGAGGTTTCAGTCCCTGGTCAGTAGGGTGCATTGCTTTGGGGCCTGTGGCAAGGCAGCAGATCATGCGGGGAGGGCATGGTGGAGACGAAGCTGCTGACCTCATGGTGGGAGGAAAGTGAAACAGGGAGAAAGGACCTGAGGTCCTACCCTTCAAGGGTACACCCTCAGCCACCTAACTTCCTTCCACTAGATATTTCTTCTGAAGTCTCTACCACCTCTCGGTAGCACCGTGGTCTGGGGATCAAGCTTTTAACACACAGGCCTTTGGGGGCCACCTCCTCAAACCCCGACACTTAACTTATATGGGGCTTTGCGAACAGATAGGAGCCGGGTTCAAGATCCTGCCACCTCCTCCGTGTCTGCAGGCAGTTGCTGCCTTTATAGGGGACGTGCTGAAGCAGAACAGAAGAAGAGGAAAGAACTCCGTTCCCAAAAGGCCTTAAAAGGTGATCGAATCTCTAATCAAACCCCCACTTTTAGATCCAATCTTTGGAGATAGATTTACGGCACTTCATAAAAGTTCCTTAGTTTTATTATTTTCCTTCCCAGGTTTAAATCCAGTAAGTGTTTAACCACATTGGGCTGCCGATTTCCAGCTTTCTCCTGATTGTGTTAAGTCCGTGAGAATTTCATTTAAGTGCTTTCATTTTTCCATTTCTCCACTTGTTTTTATCAAACCATGGAGGCAAAATGCAATAAAAAGATTTTCAAATAATTGCAGAGACATCACTGTACAGATAAAAACGGCAACATGGCACCACTCAGCTGCAGGCTCACGGCACCACCAAGCAAGAGCCCCAAGTGCTCAGGGTTCCCTCGGATTGGTGAGGATCTGTCGGATAAACGTCAGTGGAGAGGCACCGGTGTAAAATGTGAGAATGGATTGAGTGTGCAGAGAATTTCAGTCCGTGTAAGTTGAAAATCACTAGTAATTACGACAAGGTGAGATATAGGCACCGGGTCATGCTGTATGTTTTTCTCTTCTTAATTAGATTATAAATACTTCAAGGGGAAGGAAGAATTATTTTTAAAAAATGCATCAGAACCCTCTTTACTGTGCATGCAATAAACACTTATTAATTTCTAATTTAATGGGTAATGGGTAGAATAAAATTAATCCTTTATTTTGAATGAGGAGGCTAGGCTTAAAGTTGCCTGCAATTTTAGATCCAATCCTGCTTTGTAGGTGGTTAAGGAATGTTGTTACATATTACATACAGATATCAGTATATGGGTAAATATATGTATGTGAATATATATAAGCTGATAGCTCCAGATATATAAATATATAGATATCTAATATTAGAGAGAGATACAGAGAGATTGAGATAAAGTTATAGAGAGAGATATAGATCGATCTCTCTCTCTCACACACACCCGTAAGGAATGTCTGAGAGGGAGAAATGTAAGTCATTAAATATAAATCTTCATCCATTACTTTTGCTAGTTACTCATTTAAGTTGAGCTTCTTTTGGTGCCAACAGACCCACAACGGGGCCCGCTTGGTCTTTGGCACCACTGTACCCATATCTTGCTTAGGACCATGTCGGCCAATGCAAGACACCAGTGTAGCTGAGCTTTGAAAGCCCAGTCCTGAGGCAGGCGTGGCTGGTGAGAGGACAGCAGGGGCCCTGGGCTGGTCCCCTCTGGCTGCGAGCATCCTCCACATTTACATCAGTGAGCCCTACAGATATTTTCTTTCCTGTATTTGAAAGAAGATTGAGAAGCTCAGGTAGGAAATCAGTTCCTTTTCTTCTCCTTCATTTCCTTATAGCCTGTTTGACCTTTCCTTAAATTAGTAATGGAAATGTCTTTCTCGCTGCAATGGATAGCTGTTGACTGAGCAAAACGTGCTAATTGTTTTCCAGTGTTTTCTTCCAGTCTGCTGCAGAGAACCACAGGGCCAGCGGGTGGGAGTGCCCAGGAGGGAAGTCTGGTTTTGGTGTCCATAAAGAGAAGTTCTGAATCATTAGGGTGATGAAGCCAACTGCCACGTGAAGCCCCAAACACTCCTTCTCCGCTGGGAAAGCCGAGGCCACAGATCCCCTAAGGGCCATTGTCCACTAGTGGCAGGTGAGTGGAAAGTGGGTGCATGGCCTCTGCTCCGGGTCCTTCCGAGCAGTCATCTGAGACGGGACTGGATACAGAGTGCCCCAGGTTCCAGCAGAGACGGGGAAAGATGAGGTTCTCACTTTCCAGGAATTGAAAGAGGGTTGGATCATATCAGCTTTTCCCGAAAATAGACGGATAAAAATTAAACAGTTTGCCTTTTCAGGTCTGGTTGTTAGGAGATGACTTTGGCAGCTATGAAACCCAGAGTGCTAGCCTGCTGCAATTGGGAATGAAGGGGAAGGAACTTTTCATAGATGGTCAGAATGTCCATGCCAAGGGGTTTTCCTTCTGAGTCAGTAAGCTCAGAGGGTTCCTGCTTTAATCTTTCTGTTCTCTGTCATGCGCCTTTAAGGAATGTCTTGCTACATTGCTCTCTGATGATACTTTGCCTATACTTTCATATCATTGCTAATCTCATTGTACCATCATTCCTCCAGAGCTGGGGGCTCAGTTTCAGGAGACCCCTGCCTAGGGGATGCGATGACCATCTGCAGACGCTCAAGTCCCTCATATAAAGTGGCATGGAATTTACATAGAACCTACACACATCTTCCTGAATGTATCAATCACCTCTGGATGACTTGTAAGACCTAATAAAATGTAAACTTATGTAAATAATTGCTAGGCTATATTGTTTAAGGAATGATGACAAGAAGTCTGTACATGTGCAGCAAACATGCAATTTTTCCCCACAAATATTTTTTATCCAAGGTTGGTTGAATTTGCTTATGCAGAACCCAGGGATATGGAGGGCCGACTGTATTCTAATTTGTTTATTTTTCTGTATTCTCCATCTCTGGTCTTTAGCGCAATGTCTGACACTGTAGGCTCTCAACCGGTGTTTGTCATAAAAATGGTTCAAATACATCAATTCTGGATGAAGAAAAAGAATTCTGTAAGATAAATCGTGTATCGTGCTACCATCTTCCAACGTGAGATGATTAAACAAAATTCAGCATCTGCATTTCTTTGTTCTTCAAAGGATGGAATTTCTTGCTTTTCCTGGAAGACTGAATTAGGAAAAAAAAAATGGGCTGAAACCAATTTTGGGTGCAGAATCACTTGCATAAAATAACCCAGTGTCGGTGTGGGGTTTTTCTGGTCCTGAAGAGGTAGATAAGGTCAGCACACACCATCTTCTTCTGGCTGAAGTGTAGTCTGACGGACCCTGGGAGTTTCTCCCAGTCCAACTCCACTGTCCACCTCATCGTATTTCTCAGTTTGTAAAATCTGGTATATGAAGGAACTATCCTTTGTAGTGCCGATTATGGTCACTACTGTTTTTCTTTGTTGAAATATTCACTCAGGATTCCACATGAGTCATTTTGCAGAGCAAATATTAGACTTTATAACATGGTGTTTCCCAGTGGCTGTTTATCTCAGGCAGAAAGAGTTCTTACTGGGCAGCCATCAAAGCAGGGCTTTCTAGGAAATGTCACAGCTCTGCTTTGGCCTTTCTTGGACATCTGGTAGGTCCTTGTCAATTTTCTTAAAAACTCTCTTCCAGGATTTAATCCTTTTTTTTTTTTCAAAAATAATGGCAGGATCTTCTATTATAATCTCACATAGCAGAAGAGGCAAGGGAATATCTCAGAGATCTCTTTTACAAGGACACAAATCCAAACATATCCTGGTTACCTCCCCAAAGGCCTTACCTCCAAATACTATCACTTTGTGCAGTTCCTCAAAAGGTTAAACATAGTAATCATATGACCCAGTATTTCCACTCCCAGACATATACCCAAGAGAATTAAAAGCATGTCTACACAAACACACACATGTTTATAGCAGCAAGTTGCATAATAACCATAAGAGTAAATAACTCAAATGGCCATCAAATGATGGAATAAATAAGACAAGACATATACATGCCATGAAATATTATTGAACCATAAAAAGAATAAAGTACTTTATATACTATAGAATGAATAAACCTTGGGAACATTGTGTTACTTGTAAGAAGTTAGTCACAAAAGACCGCATTTTATATGATTTCTTTTATATGAAATACTCCAAATAAGCAACTCTATGTAGAGAGAAAGCAAATTAACTATGATGCGGGGAATGGGAGGGGATTGCTGAAGAGTACAATGTTTCTTTTTAGGACATGAAAATATTCAAAATCGATTGTGGTGATGATTATATCACCATGTGAATATGCTGGGGAAAAACATTGAATGTACACTATTTTATGGTATGTGAATTATATCTCAATAAAATTGTTACAAGAAAAAAAATAATGGCAGGGCACTGAAGAAAATGGCTAGTTTAAGATGATTTATCTGTGCCATATTCATTGAATTTCAACTACAAAAAAAAATCATAAAAATGTCCCTTTACTATAAGATACTATGGAAAGTGTAGGAGTCACTCAAAAGCAACAGAACAGCGTGTTATTTTTGAATCATTGTGTTCCAGGCAATTGGTACCTTGTCTATTTACATGACTCATACCACGCCTGGTGTTCCAAGATGCACATTATCCACAGGTTGCTTCCCAAACTATGGAAAACTTTAGCCACAGAAAGGAATTTACGATGTGAGAGAGAGCCTTCTAGAATCACTTCATGTCTCTGTGCCTGGGACCTTATCAACTTCACCCCCCAACCTGGTAGGAAATGTAGGAGCTGGCCTTGGGATGACTGAAGGAAAGCACCCGTGGGAGCCAGGCCGTCCTACCTAGAGAACCAGCCAGACGGGGGCTCGTGGGCGAGGGAAGGCACGGCTCCTGTCATGGCTCAGGCATGAAGTGTCCCACCAAAGCTCATGGGTGAAATGATGACATGATGAGTAGTAGCACCTCATCGTGGATTCGTCCACTGATATGGATTAACTGGCCAGTGACTGTAAGCACGTAGGGCATGGCTGGAGTAGGTCACTGGGGCACACCTTGGGATTTACTTCTTTTTGTCCCTGGTGAGCAGAGCTCTCTCTCCTTCCTGACTGCCGTGTCCTGAGCTGCTTCCCTCCACCAGGCCCTTCCGCCATGATGTGATGCCGCATCCTGGGTCCAGGGCAACGGAGTCGGCCATGCATGAGCTAAGACCTCTGAAGGTGTGAGCCCCAAATGAACTTTTCCTCCTCTCATATTTTTCTGGTAAGGTCTTTTGGCAGCAGCAAGGAGAAGCTGAGTAAAACGGCCCCACGCAATAAAGTATTAAAATGCTTAAACAACTCCACCGTGATGGAGGGCGTCTGCTCCTTGGCATCCATTCAAGCTGTTGATTTGTGCACAGATCCATCGATGGCTTCAGGGAGCTATCAATTCTGTCTGTGTGTGAGCTGTTTCTGACTCTGAGATGCTCCCTGCTCAGACTCCAGAAGCATCTCAGCCCCTACCCCGTGCAGTGTTTTTACCAAATGTCTCCTCGTATTTTAAATACTCAGACATCCGTGGCCTACAGAGACTTCTCCAGGGAAGAAATCTCTGCGGTCTCCCTGTCACCCTTCTCACTCCATCAGTGTTCATTTTTCTGCTTAAGCAGATTCAGTGACATGAACAAAAAATTAAAAAGAGAGGACACCGCCTGGAATATGGGAATTACCCGGGACACGGACCAAAGCATTCTTGAGTGATGGGACATTTCCAAGATTTTCATACCCTCTATTACATTGTGCTGTGATGATCTACTTGTTCTCTGTGACTCATCAGATTAAGAAGTTCTGGAGGGACAGAAAGAATGCTTTATTCATCTTGTGTCTCCAATGCCATGTTACTATCTGGGATTCCAGTGCACACACAATACTCAGCACATACTGGCTGAAACATTCGCTATGGTGTGAATAAGTATCCCCAAAATGCCGTGTGTTAAAGGCTCGTCACCGGCCCATGGCTCTACTCAAAGGTGGTGGGACCTTTAAGAGATAGATTCTAGTGGAAAGAAGTTAGGTCGTTGGGGACATGCCATTCTTGAAGGGGATGTTGGCAACCCAGCCTCTTTATTCCTCTTTTTGCTTCCTGGCTGCCATGAGATCAGTAGCTTCCTCCCCAGATGTGCTCCCACCAAGATAGACTGGGTTGCCACAAGCCCAAAAGCAGTGGAGCTAACCAACCATGGATTGAAACCTCCAAAATTGTGAGGAGACACGAACCTTTCTTCCTTATAAGTTGATCATCTCAGGTACTTTGTCACAGTGGGGGAAAGCTGACAAAGTGCTGAACAACTCTGAAGTACAATGATTCAGTTCTGATTTGGGGCGGACAGCAATCACTAGAAGAGTGCAGTGGGTTCATTCATGACCTCCCAAAATATGTAGTTGCACCCTAAACCTCAGAATCTGTGAATGTGGCCTGATTGGGAAAAAGGGACTTGGCAAATATAGTCAAGTTAAAGAATCTTAAGATAAAGTCACCCTGGATTATCCAGGTAGGCCCTACATCCAATGACAAGTGTCCTCGAAAAGACAATGGGGGGGGGGACACAGAGAAGAGGAGAAGGCTAGGTGAAGGCAGAAGCTGAGACTGGAGTTATACAGTGTGGTGGATGGACCTGGGAGTCCCCCAAAGTCTCATGTGTTAGAGGACTGGTCCCCAAGGCAATGTTCAAAGGTGGAGATTTGGGGAAGTGATTGATTCATGAGGGCTCTGACCTCATCAATGGATTAGAAGACAGGGCTTCATGTGGGTCCCTGGGGACATGCCCTGGAAGAGTGTACATTGCCCAGCCCCTGACTCTCTCTCTTTCTCTCTCTGCTTCCTGGCCGCTGTAAGGTGAGCAACTCTCCTACACCATGTGCTACCACCGCAACATTCTGCCCCACTACAGGCCCAAATGCAGCCGAGCCAGTGAGTGATGGACTGAAACTCAGAAACCATGAGGCAAAATAAGTCTTTTCTCCTGTAAGTTGTTTTTCTCGGGTATTTTGTCACAGCAATGAGAAGCTGACTAATACATGCAGGTATGAGCCAAGGAATGCCTGGAACCGTGAGAAGCCGGAAGAGACGAGGAACAGTTTTTTAAAGCTCCAGAGGGAGCGAGACCCTGATGATACCTTAATTTTAGACTTTAGGACTCTACAAGAGAATAAATTTGTACTGTAAATCCCCAGGTTTATGGTAATTTGTTATGACAGGAAATGAATCTTAAAGGTAACCTGCTTCAAGAACTCCGTTCAAACCAACACAGAGAGCTGGGTTCATGGCACTGGAAAAAAAAAACAGACATGGAAAGGTTTTTTGAAGGATTCCTGTTCACAAAGTCCTAGGAACATGGACTGAATTGAGAAGAGGGGCTAGGAGAGATGGATCTTATCACAGGGGCCATGAGGAGCCAAAAGAAGTCTCAACCTAGGCTGAAGATTTAAAGTAGCAGAAGCTTATCATTATGCTCCACAGTTGCAGAATGTAGACCTGCAGCAGGCACTGAGTAGGCACTTAAGATGATCAGAAAAGCACTTCAAGTCTTTGTACAGAGCAAGAGAGAAGTAGCCCAGAGAATAATGGGAGGAGGGTATGGAGAGGACTGTCATTTCTCTAAGCCAAGCCCTTGAGAAACCATCTTTTGTCACTGCAAAGTGGAAAAAAAAGGGACCAAGGCAAAGAAGCTTTCTCCTCCCAAATAAGCAGGAGGATTTGGCCCATTCTGCTCATTCATTGCTCGAGTGTCCTGCCCTGTCCCTGCTTGCGGTCTCTCTGCCCCAGGAGACCCCATTCTCATGCACTTGATTGGTGCAGACCGGATGGCCCTGGGAAGAGCCAATTCTTCTTCAGAGAGCAGAATGGCATAAGGCAGGGAAAGGTCTGAAAAGGGCCACATCCAAGAGAGCAGAGTGCTTCTTGTCTCAGAAAGACAAACAAGGCTTTGGGATTCCAAGCAGTGAGGCCTCTCAAGTTCCAGCTGGGGCTGGATTACATTGCCGGAGTAGCTCAACTTGCTTGTCTTTACCATGAAGAGGCTGATGAAACCATCTTCAAGGTCTTTATCACCCTCAGATCCGTGATTGTTGCCTGGCTACCGAGCAAAAGAAATCCACCCCCTGGAAGGTCTTCTGACTCACACCCCAGGACCCATTTGAAATGTTTTATGATATACTCCTTCCCACAAAACCAAATAGGGCATCATATATGACCTGATTTACACGGAGACTATATTGCTAAAAACAAAAGGGGGCGGGGGGCTGCCTGATCTCAGTGCGGTACAATATGGGCATTGAGTGGATAAAGGTTGAATGAATGGGTGAGGGTTGGTATCCCTTTTAAATAAAAATACAAGAGAATTTTAATACAACGGAAAAGTCCTTCATGATTATAGCAGGATACAATATGGACATTCGATGAATGAATGTTGATGGAAGTTAAGCATTTTGCCATATGATCCCTTAAATCTCGTTTCAGTTAGTTACCTGTGTGGTGATGGAGTTTGTTTTGTTCAGCTATATCCACTCTCTCTAAGCAGCCGGGTGCCGGGGAGGCCCTCTTCCGCTCTTCCTTCCATCATCTCCCACAACAGTTCGGCCAGCCTCTTGCCGTGCTGGTGCCAATCCCTTGTTGACTCACCGGGAATGAGTTTCCTCCATCTGTGCCGTGGGCTGCACAGAAAGCCCAAGATAAAGGGCTGCCTTGAGCCTGCTCCATGTTTTCCACCTTTTTTCCCCTAGACTTTACTATTTGTGTCTTCTATCCTTATTTTGCTCCAAGATGTGAGAATGACTAATTGTTTCCAAACTTTGCTTCTGACGTAAGAGACCTTTATTGCACTTGTAAGGGCAGGCACACACGATGACACTCTGCATCTTTTATTTATTTAGGAGGTTGCCAGTTTTCCCTTAAAACCTCAGGCAAGAAGACAAAGAGGGAAAACTCAAAATGGCGGCAGGAGGCCAGGCAGTTAGCTGAGAGCACCTCACCCGCCCGGCCCAAAGTGTGACCATGCTTGGTGGAAGCTGGCTTGGAGCCAGGCCCGCCCTGCTTTGACAGTAGCCGGTGTCATTTCTGTGTAGGATTCCCCACAATCACATTAATAGGCCATTACAGACCCCATAACCACCCTGACATTGGGGCATTGCTCCAATTTCCCCTGAACGAGTGCTCAGGTCTCCTGGGATGGGTCGAGGCAGCCTGCTTCTCCCCATCCTCCTGGCACACCGGTCCCTGCCCTCCCCTACCAGTGAGACCACCTGTTATGGAGGACGCTGCCCCAGTCACATCAGGACTGCCGCACACCTTGCTCACGCAGGCAGTGATTATCCTTCTAGAAAAAACAAAGACAATAAAATAAGGCTTTTGATTGATGAGATGAGGCTTGTGTCCCCCCCCCCCAGACTCTGTAAGTTTGTGTAATGAGCTGCAGATAACCACAGTGCAAATATTAAGTAGGCCCGAGGAAGGGTGTCCCTTGTTTGAACAGGTGGGCACACATGTGGGTCAAGGCCATCTACGTAGGGGATGAGGGAACTGGGACACTCATTCATTCATTCATGGAGCATTAATAAAAAGCACCTGAGATAAACAACTTATGAAGAGTAAAGGTCATCTGGGCTCACAGTATGGGGGTTTCCGTCCATCACAGTGAGGTGGGAGGCAGTGACCATGGGGAGGAGAAGTGCTCACTACAAGGCCAGGAAGAGAAAGGAGCCAGGGTCCCTCTATCTCCTTCAAGGGCACACCTCAAATGACCTCAAGACCTTGCCCCAGGCTCCTCCTTCTGGAGGCTCCACCACCCCCAGGTAGCGCCACCCTGAGGACCAAGACTTTGACGCAGGAGGCTTCCTTCAATCTGCCGCAGCACAGGCATTCATTTGTCTGAAAGGTCTGGATCCTGCGGGTATCTGGAGATGTGAAGTCACAGTCTCTGCCTCTCCTCCTGTGCCCTCCCCCTTCACACACACAGTCCACACACTCAGCGGATGTGCAAGGAAGGAATGCTGACATTGCGAGAAGTGCTGCAGCTGAGGGACCAGATGACTATTATCGGGGTGCACAAGAGAGCGGTCAGCCGCCTGCTTGTGGCCAGGGAGCCTTCTAACGGGTGACGTGCAGCCTGAGACTTCAAGAGTAAAGATGCCTTTACTGATCTGGGGGTAAATTAACTCAGCTTTCTGTCATTTGTCCCTTTTTGATGGTTACATCAGCTTGTCAAGAGCCAGAGCTGTGTGTCTTGTGGGATCTTGACCCAGAACCTGGTGCACTGGAATTGCTTATTGTATTCTAGCCAAATAAAGGAGAAAATCTATAAATGACAGGTCCTGATACTCTTTCTGTGACACACCTTGGCCAGCATCGTCAAGATTGTGTTTGGTTTTAGGTGACAGAAGGCAGGGAATTCTGGCAGATATATATTTTATACAGAGACGAGGGGAGTCCATCTGGGGTCTGCCTCTGGGTCTACCACAGGTTCAGAGTCAACTAGCGGCTGATCATTTGCCTGTGGATAGAAGACCTCCACAGCTTCCCCTGCTGGTTTGGGAAGTGGATTTCCAATGAAGAGACTCTTCCCAAGACCAGGTTCCTGGGGAAGTTCCTTGGAGGCCCTGCCTCTCTCTCTCTAGGTCCTCGATGGTGTGACCATGATGAGGAATTATCCTCATCATCTGATTGAAATGTGGATAAAAGTGACAGTAGGTGACATGCTATAGCTAAAGTGGTACTATTTTTCACAGATCAGTTTGACTGGTCCCAGGACCTGCCTTTCTAGAGGAGCCAGGAGCCCAGATGTGCAAATTCAGATATGCAGACATCATCTTCAATAAAAGCTGATACCTTTCATTATAAAATTGGATTTTTGAATTAAAATGCAAACATGAATATATAAAAATGGAGCTAAATAAATACTGATTAATTCGTACTAATGGTTGATACTGGCCCCCAAAACAAAGCAAAATAGGGCAAATGATAGGAACCACAAGGGTGGTTGGGCGTGGGGAGAGGAATAAGGACATGGTGAGGAGAAAATGGAGTTTCAAAGAAAAAATTCCTCCTTTGCTTCCTCCTTTTTCTCTAAGGTTGAGCAGAAAGAAGCCTGGGCTATAAGATCCAATTTCAGAGAATGTCATAGTCTCCTTGCTTTCTGACCCAGACTGATTTTCAAGACCAAAACACCAACTACTCCCTCAAAGATCAGATCAAGCTGCCAAAGCAAACCCCAGGATCTTGAGGGATTTTATGGAACTAAAATAAGTCTTCCTTTTTACATCATGCACTTTTTGCATGTGTGAATATAAAACATGCCTTCCCTGTAGAACATTTAGATACCACAACAAAGTGTAAAGCTTCGGGGGGGGGGGGGGTGACCATCTTCAATTCTGCCATCTTTAATTGTCACAGTGCATTTTTTTCCTAAGATGAAAGGGAGTTTTAGGGACTGTGTCTGCCGCAGTTGAAACTCAGGACGTCACAAAGCATGAACAGAACTGGGGTTTGTCATGCTGCATGGGCAGAATTTGGGATTGAACTTTTGCGGGGAGGAAT